GGGGAGCAGAAAAGGCAGATCGGTGAAGTACACTGCTGAGGGGAGCAGTGGGTGGGTCAGGAGAGGTCTGCCGCACCATGTGGTCACCTCCGGGGAAAGCGGGAATCCAACTCATGCGGAAGTGGCTTTAGCTTCTTAGTACAGTACTTTAACCCCCTGTGCCACCAGGGAGGGCCATGAATAGGTATTTTAAACAAACATCTGTGGTAATTCAAATATATCTAGTTAGAGCCCAACATTTAGGAACTCTCAAACTAGATGATAGTATTAATTCCAGTTATATGATTCCACGTAAGCTTTTCTGTTTTGTTAAGTTCATTAATGAACTTATGTTTCAATATAAGATAAACATGAAAGATGAGCTCATCTTTCAATATAAGATGAAAGCAATGGATTGGTGATAAAATGTCTCAATTAATTTATATTTATAATGACACCTCCCTATTTACTTGCTATCAGCAAAGGTAAAAAATAGATCATGGGCCCTCCCTGGTGGTGCAATGGGTTAGGACACAGCACTGCAAGCTGGCCGCAGTCACTTCAATGCAAGTTCAATCCCCAGCCAGGAGGTGACCCATATGGTACAGCAGACCTCTCCTGTCTCACCACTGGTGGCCCAGCGGGTTAAAGCACAGCACTAAGAAGCTAAAGCCGCTTCCTCCGCATGAGTTCGATTCCCGCCTGCCCCGGAGGTGACCACGTGGCGCGGCAGACCTCTCCTGACCCTCCTGCTACTCCCCTCAGCAGTGTACTTCGTCGATCTGCCTGTTCTGCTCCCTGCTCTGTCTCTGGTGAAGCCTCTCGCCGCCACCCCTGAGCCTCTGCACCATGTAACTGTGTGGTTCATTCTTTCCAGCAAATGCCCTTTCACTTTGAGGAAAATTTACTATAAATTTGACACCAGTAACTCAGATAAGCTCGAAGCTCCCATTTCAAAGTATGATTGATCTGTAAGTACTTTCTTAAAAAGGTAATTTCAAACAAAAATATGCACAAGAGTAATGTTAGTTCAAGGAATTCCATAGGCTTTCCCCTATATCTCAGCATTTAGATATCTGAGAGGATAAAGATGGGGAAAAAAAAAAACACTTCTTCTAAAACAAGGCACCCCAATGCACCCAACAATGCACTGTTAAATGACAAGTTTAAGACATACCCAATTGCTGCCGGGGTCAAGCGGGTATGCAACTGCGGGGTGGTAGAAGTAGTGGTGGTTGTTAGGGAGCCATCAGTTCCAGTCTTCTCCCAGTCAAAAGGATCACTCTCAATTACTGCAAATGTCTTGATACTGTTGTCAAATACGGATGTAAGAAGCTAAAACACAAGGGAAAAACAGAGTAAGCCAATGTAAACATAATCATTTTATTCCAGAAAAGAAAGTACCCAACTCATTGGTAGTACAATTTGTAGTACAATTTTCTCTAAAAACTGATGGTATAACTAGGGGAATCCGAATGCAGGCTACACAATGATAGTGAATTATTATTTATTTTTCTCAGTAGACTACTTCCAAATTTTTCTCAATTGAAGTAGTCAACATTTCTCAGATTTATAGTTATATAGGTGAATATCTTATTCTCGGAAGATACATAAAAATAAAGTGTCATATCCAAAATCTACTTTCAGATGATTTCATAAAAGAAGTGTTTGTTGTATGTGTAAACAGTTTTGATCATTTATTTATGTAACATAACTGGTTTTTCTTTTTCTTTCTTTCTTTCTTTTAAAGATTTATTTATTTGTGGCCCTCCCTGGTGGTGCAGCGGGCTAAGGCACAGCACCAAGAGGCTAAAGCAACTTCCTCATGAGTTCGAGCCCCGCCTGCCACGGAGGTGACCACATGGCCCAGCAGACCTCTCCTGGCCCGCCCGCTGCGCCCCTCAGCAGTGCACTTCGTCAATCTGCCTGTTCTGTTCCCCACTCTGTCTCTGGTGAATCCTCTCACCCTCTGCATCTCTGGTCTGTACCCCAGTTCTGTATGGATAAATAAATAATTAAAAAAAATTATTTGTGCATACAGAACTGGGGTATAGGCCAGAGGCTCAGAGGTGGCGAGAGGCTTCATCATGGGCCAGGAGAGGTCTGCCGCGCCATGTGGTCACCTCTGGGGCAGGTAGGAATCGAACTCATGTGGAAGTGGCTTTAGCTTCTTAGTGCTGTGCTTTAACCCGCTGCACCACCAGGGAGGGCCCTGGTTTTTCTTTTTTTTGGTCAAAAAAGGATAATTGGCCATTGGTATATGTAGAAATTTTGGGGTATACTGAAGTTTATTATGCTTTCTTCTAACTTATGATCCATTTGAAAATATATTAAACTGTGTGTACATACACAAAAATTATCAAAAGATTCTGCTCTATTATACATGTATAAAATTTTTTTCTTTAAATTCCAAAATTCTGATGATCTTGAGAAAAAGCCCACAAAGACCTTCCTTTTCAGTTTCTGAGAATATTCATCATTTTCAATTTTATGACTATGCCTTCAGTCTCTCCTGAGTATTAGTATTAGTAGTAACCTATCCTCAGAGATTTGCCTTACACATATCCTGCTTCAATCCTTTCTAGCACTTCATTGGGCAATTTTGTAAGGTGTGTTACATTTTAAAAATATTACTCTGGTAATGAATGAAGACTAGAACCCATAAATAGTGATGGTTATGCTAGAGTTAGGAGGCCACTGTCATTTGAACCAACACAGCAACAATGAAGGTAAAAGAAGTGACAGAATTTGAACATAACTGGGAGGTAGAGAAGACAGAAGTTGTTGATGTATTAGATGAAAGCCATGAAAATAAAGAAAGAATAAAGGATAATTTAGATTTCTGTAGTGAGCCACAAAGTTTATGGCTCTACAGATAAAATTTGAGAGCCATCAAGATATTGGTGTTAATAGGTATTATTTAAGATCATAGGTGTAGATGCTGTCATCTATGCAGAGTTGATCTCAAAGAGGTTCAAGACCTAAGGTGATGGCTCTACAACAATCTGATAGAAATGAGAGAAGGATTCCGCAAAGAAAACCAGGAAAGAGTGATCAGTGAGGTAGGAAAGCCAGTGTGGTATTATTCTAGCTTGCAAAATAAAAAAGCCATCTTAACAATGAGAATGGTCAAATGCAAATAATTGAAAATTCATAGCTAATTCTGATTATTTAATTGATAATCTCGTTCTTTTACTCAATTTAAACTCCAAAAAGCTGGTCAGACTGGGTAGAACTCTGCATATACTTTAAAGAGCAAAACATTTCTAATTTTAACAAAATAATTTTCTAATTCAGAACCATAGTGACTCTAAACCCTAAACTGCAACATACTGAAATAGTAGAAGTAGGATAAGTGAAGGATTCACTTTCCATGGTCAGTGATTCATTTCTCACATTTGGCTAAGATAGACAAAATTAGAGAATCAAATCAGCTATTCCTTCAGTGTTGAAAACAACATTAATTAGTCACCTTATAATAAATAATAAATATGTATAAAGCTTGTATGATCCTCCCATGCACTGGGGAATAAAACACATTCTAATCAGAACACTTTTCTGGAAACACAGGAGCTCACTGTACAAGTAATTCTTAAACTGAAAAGGGAACAGGACAAAAATCTTAAAAATCTTTATTTACAGATAATTCTGACACTTCCCTCTGGAAGGTATATCCCCTACATCTACTAAAAATCGCCGCAAATCTAGTATATATCTAACTTATGAGTATCTTACGGAATATACAAACTCATCTAACATGTAGTTCTCTGGGAAATGCATCCAGAAAAAGTTTAAAGTCATTTTATAATGACACAGCCTTCTGGAGAATTTCATGCAGAGGTAAGACATGAGTAAGATATTTTATAATATAAAGAACACAAAAAGTTAGAAAGCAAAATGTGCATAACCTTTACAATAAATCAAAAGAATGCAAAGATGTTTTAGAGTCAAGGCTAACATTTTAACATTGTTTCCAGACTTCTGGAGAAACTTGCTCCTACTTTGGTACAATAGAAGCAACTAGTTAAACAGTGTAAGAAACAATGGAATTTAAACATAATTGAAAATGAATCTTCCCTGAATGGAAGTAGGAAAGGAAAGGAGTTGAGAGAAGAGGATTTTGTGAGGGAGAACAGAGGAGAAAAGACCTGAAGAGGGACTAGCAAAAATGCAGTATTATTTTTTACTTGGCTAATGCTATGGATTATTTGTGTCAATTTCCCTCCTTCTTGCACTGATAAGAAGTCCATTTTTCTTAATCCTAATTCTAATGAGTTCTACAATAAAATGATTTCCCTAAAGCAAGTGATTGAAGACACCAAGAAAGTACCTAAAAATCAGGCACTATTTGGGTAATGTGATTCTGAATAATCTGTATTTTCTAAAATTCTCAAACTTTTATAATAAATTATTACAATTACTGTTATTACTTCTAATAATGAGAAAAAATTTAACCAACAAAAATGCAACACCTAAAATCATTTGATTGCATATGTACTCCACAAAAATGCCATTTGAAATACCCTTTATAGCAGTCATGTGAATAACCATGATGCCTCAGGGAGGCACCCTCCTCTTTCCTATTGAGCAAATGCCACCAATCTTTTGATCATATTTACTTCCATATGAAATCCCAGTTTGCCCTTTCAAAAACAATACAGAAAAATTTCAGGTTTTGGAAAAGCAAGATTTGTAATGGGATGCTGAGGATTCACTGTGAAGTTTGATTTCTGAATTTTCAGTTAATAAATAATAAATTAATAAATCAATAAAGCCCTTAACCAGCAGAGCACAATGGCAAGGCTGATTCAAAAACTTACCACAAGAGAAACTATTTTACTTCAATGATAAGTAGATACACTAGTAAGAAAGAAAGGCACAAAGTCTAAGCTTCTCTTCTCTTCTGGTGGATTTTCAGCAGCATTGGTAAAAAAGAAAAAAAAAAAACTTTTCTTTTGAGAACAGAACCAGGAAAAGACTGACCAAATAAAGAGAATGTGTTGAAGAAGCCGCAAAGTTTTAGCTATTTTAATCAGTTCTATCAAGATACTAGGGCTCCTCAGTAGAGAACACTCACCCCAACAGCTACTCCAGGAGGTGTGAAGTGGAATAAGGAAGAACAGTTCAGTTAGTCGTACTGCCTAATAGCAATACCTTCCCCTCCAGTGCTCTTTCAACCCACAAGATAAGTGGAAATGTACTCAGTTCTCTATGCCTTCTAACATGGAAACTGAAAAAGGAAAGCAAACTAGAGGGGAGACGGAAAAAAGGGAGAGAGCACAGAGGACTATGGTGGAGGACTAAGGGGCGAGATGTATGATGTGGCAACCACATCTGAAAAGGGAGATCCTAAACTTCTAAAACACAAACAATGCTGTAAACACATGTGACCTCAATTTCAAAAATAAAAGGAAAGCAACATTTCCTTTTCATCTAAATAGAACAACAGCATAAAGAAAATATAGATTTCTATTAACACAAAAGTAATGTCAAGTAGAATATAGGAATAAGAAGAGTAAGATAATCATAAGCAAATGCAGTGCCACTGAGGTACATGTAAAAACACTGAATGTTTACATGCTGCCTTCTACCTCATAAAACATTCTCAATCATCTCCTTAAAATCTTGACAGCAACACTGTGTATTTCCATCATTTCACAGAGAAGGAACTAAATTTAGAAAGGTCATACAAATGGTGTGTAGCAAAGCACCAACCGACAGAAGTTCTTTTAAATATGTGTTATTTCTACTGTAGGAGGAGGCAGCAGGCAAGATAAAAATAGCCTATAGTTGAAATTATCCTTCAAAACCCTTTAAAATGCCAATAAAGTGCAGAATAGTTTGGTCTCTCAACTGGTGCAACATAAGCAGGTTTTTTCCTTTAGTATTAGAAGAGATTTTTTTTTTTAAGGTGAATGTGAATGAAGTAATAAGCTGGGGGCATTTGGGGATAATATTATACCGAAAAAATTACTATTCTTTTGAACAACAGAATCACACTCAGTGTAGCCGATTCTGGATGACTGACTGCTGTCAGTGAAAGACTGACTGAGGAAATAACAAATTGAAGGCGCTGCACCACCTCCCTCACCAGGGCACAACTAGTTAAATAAAATACCCATTCATTGATCCACATATTACATTACTGAATGCCTACTACTGTAAGTGCTAGGAATGCAAAGCTAGTCAAAACACAGACTTGTCTTCAGATAGTTTGCATGCAACAGAAGCACTAGCCAGAGTGAGTGCAGATTTAATTCAATTTGGCAACCATTAATTAAATGCCTAACAATGCACTAATTTCTTGAGGAAACTGAGATAAGTGTACAGGCACA